TTGATATGATAAATTAATTAGAAGATGGTAAAGCAATTACTAATAACAATATTTATATTCATTTTTGAATAATTAACATTTAATAGTCAAATTGTAAAAAATTTTCATATATTTTCTAAAAAGCAATAAGAGTACCCTCTATAAAATAACAAAAGATAATGTAAATAATATGAATATAATAATAAGTTTGATTTATTATATTCATAATTCATCATCTGAATTATATACTTCGTTATGATTATTCTTTTAATTAAAATTTTATGGTCATTCGAAACAAAAATGTAAAATAATTCTTTCTCAAATATATGTTCTTTTTGAAATTATACATATATTTTAGAGAATTTGAATTGTAATTTTACACACTTTAAATTTAAATATTACCTTTATTAAATAGAATTAATTTATTCATATATGAATTATTCTTAGCGATAAATGAAAAATTATTAATTAAGGGTTTAATTTAATGCAAAATAATTAACAATTTCATTAAGTAGTGGATTTTAGAAATTAACATTTAAATTAATGGAAAAATTGTAAAGTTAATCATAAGTATTTGGTTACTTAGTTTCAATGAGTTAAAATACATAAAGAAAAATAATTAAGAATTATTTTGATTTAGATGTAATAAATTAAAATTCTTTTTATAATATGGTGAAGTTTTATAAAATGATTTTGTAAATTAGTTTAAATATTTTTTTGTGATAATTTATTAATTTATTAACAAAAGAAATGAAACAATTAAATTCAAATTAGGTTAGAATCCTTTTGTTAACAATCATAGGTATTGTATCAATTTAAGAATTGGGTTACCAAAATCTTTTATTTAATTTACAATCTAAGATTTTGGATTTATCAATTTTCAATTTGATATTGATTAAATATGATTCTCAAAATCTATAAACATAAAAAAGTTTGAAAAAAAATGAAATAATACATTCTGATGAAATTATTAGAAAATTGGAAAGCCTGAAATTAAGACAATTATATTAATTATTAAATAAGAGCAATCCAAAAAAGCCAAAAAATAAATTAATTCTCTTATATATGAAAAAAAGTAAAAATCTATTTAATATTGATCCTTAACTTATAGATATTGATTAATCTTATCTAGTTGATGTAAAAATAAGGTTATCATTAATTCTTGAAATTAAAAAAATTCTAAGATCCATTTATTATATTTTATAAGTATACTTTCATATACTCCTTCTATTTTCTGATGCAAACTTATTAGTGGTTTTAACTATATTATTTAATCCATAATTATTAATATATTACTATTTTTTTTTTTTAAATTTTATAATACTTTTACTTATTCTGCTATTTGGATGTTATTGAATTAGAAAAGCACTTAATAAGTGAATTAAACATTATAATTTTGCTCACTGTATTTAAAAATAATATGTAGGAATAATTAGAATTTTGTTTATTTAACAGAAACTATTTAAATAAAAGTTAAATTTATAGATTTTTACTTTCCATGAGTTCATCAATTTTAATCAGCAATTATAACTTAAGAATTAAATGGTTAAATTAGGAAATCAGAAATTGATTTAATTTGAATTTATTAGTGATTATATTTGAAATAAAAGATATAAATTAATTGAAAAAGTTAATAATGATAAAAAATAAATTATTGAATTTGGAACTTGAAATTGAGTATATATGTAAAATTCAATATCAATCATCTCTCAACATAATATAATTATTCTGTAGAAGCTTAAGATCAAAACTAATATAAAAGATAGAAATTAAAAATTAATTAAAATTTTAGATTTATAAGTTAGATATTTAATTAAGATAAAAATTTTGAGGATTTAGCTTTAAAAATATTTTGAGTTTTTATTTAATCAATTGAAATCTACTAATATGATTTTACTGAATTAGAAAAAATATATTATTAGACAGATTCTAATTTAATCCATATTTATATTTGATAGAATGCAATTTAAATTAGTGCTAATAGAAATAAAAAATAAATATAATTTCCGAAGAATATTCTATCGATGATAGATAAAATCAAAACTAAGAAAGAAAATGTAAACTTTTAATAATCTTGCTAACTTTATTTGTAATGACTGTCAATTTGAGAATAAAAAAACTTATATAAAATTTCCTCTTAAATCATCTATTTGATTAAATCCTGTGAGATTTAAAAATGCCTTTTAAATTATAAGGATATAAGTTTAATCTATATTCAAAAAATCAATTTATTAAGATCAGATGTTTACTGCCTCAAAATTGACTCTATATTCAAATATAAAAAAACTAAATTAAAGCAACATAAAATTTTGATATTATAAAATAAGTGAGATAAATAAATATTTAAAAAATTAAATTATGTTGTAAAGGCCGAATATAAAATTTAGAAAGATATCTTTTAAAGACAATTAAAATCAGAAAGTTATAGGAAAAATTAAAGAATTCTAAGCCTTAATCGAAGAGAAAAATTTATTTCCCATTTCTATAGAGTGAATTAATTTATTTATTGTTTGAGTTAACTTTTATGAGGGTAATTTTTATATAATATGATAATACGTTTAAACTAGACTAAAAAAGCAATATGAAAGATGTATTCATTCATCTTATAAATTTATTAAATCTATAATGTATTATTTTTTTGATACATAAATATCATTTGAAGATTCATTTTCATTACAATGAAAAATTATGAAATCTCATGTGTATGAGTCATATTTATTATATAAAGTTTGATATACTTTTTTTACTCTAGTGTTAAATGAATTGCAAATGAAATTAAAATCTCCAAAAGAAAGAATTTTAATTTCTATCTAATCGAAAGATTTTTTAATTTAGATTATTTTCTTTAATAAATAATTCAGTTGGTTTAAAAAAATATTAGAAAGATTTAGAATTTAGAATAGTTAAATATTTTGTTATTTTAACATAATAACAATAATCTATAAATTTTATTAAAATGAATAAAAGACTCATCAAATTATATTAATTTAACTAATTAATAAATTTGAAAGAAAATGGAAGAGCAAGATATGAAAATGTGTTAAAAACATAAATTAGAAATAATTTTAGTGGACTTTGATTCAAAGATTGCTTAAGAAGACAGATGTTTATGTATAAGGTGTATTATTGAAAGAATGAATAAGAAGAAAAAGAATTTAATTGATGAAACAAAGTTTATGATTAAAGAAATGAAAATGAATTAAGAAAATTAGAGAATTATAGATAGTAAAAAGAGACTAGACAATTTCAATGGAATTGAATAATTATTAAAAGAACTGAAATAAAACATATATTCTATATTTGATAAAATATTTAATAATATTTTATCTAAATTTAATTGGATATAAAGCGATGTAGCAAATATTGAATTATAATCAATTATATTCAATTTTGAAGAAGACATTGAAAGTTTGTCTTAATATTAAGAATATTAAAATAATGAATAATAAATTAAACTTATTGAAGATAATCATAAGCTAGTTGAATAAATTTAAAAGTAACTGGAATCTTCCATAAATTCTGAATAGTATAATAAATTAATGAGTCATTCAATTAATAATACGAATCAAAAAAATAGAATAGGATTAAGAAAATAATGAATAAAATTATGATAAAAGCAAAAGATTATGTAAACTATTATAAATTATAATAAATTAGAAAACATCTGCATTGGAAATTATCTGTGAAGAACATACAAAAGAAATTATAATGTTAATTTAAATGCGAATTCCAATTCATAACCTAGAATGGCTTGTGTTAAATGTATTAATAATATCCTGCTTAATACACTCCTTTAGAAGAGGTCTCTGTTTAATGGGATTCATATTAAAGAAAATTTAAACTAGTTTAAATAATTTACACTATACAAGGAATTCTATTAAATAGAAAATACTTAAAATGATAGAAGAGATTAAATTGTAAAATGATTAAAAATTTGATGAATTAGTAGAATCTCTTAATAATTAATAATAATCAATAGAACATTTGAATTAGAATTAAATTAATACTAAATCCTTGTATTAATAAACTTAAAATTAAATGAATGAAATAATCAATTAATTAAGTTAAATTGAAAAATTTTTAAAATGGAAAGATCATCAAATTAATATTGAAAAGATTGATAAAATATTCTATTAGGATTTAAGATCTAAATATGAATATCTAATTTAGTATTAATAAATAAATGTTTAAAGAATAAATTAAATAATTATTAATGATAATAATGTAATTAATTAAATTGATAATTTATTATAATCAACTTAAAATAAAGATCAAGATAAAACATAAGAATCTACTGATAAAGTAATAGAACAAATTAGATAATTTATGTATAAAACAACTAATTTTTAAATCTCATAAAAAATATTTATTGAAACTATTGATTAGTATGTAAAGATCAAAGAGGATCTGTAGAATATATAATAGATTTTAAACAATAGAATAGAAAACTCTTAAGAATTTCTAAGTATATTCAATGAATTCAATAATTATTCAAATAAATTCAATTAAGATTACAATTAATTTTAAGAATTTTTAGGAATCAATTAACAATTGAATAAAATTGAGTTATAAAAAAAATAATTTGAGAATCTTCAAAAAGAAAAATAAGAATAATTAACTTTTTTTAGAATGAATTAAAAAAATGAAAGATGCAAATGAATAAATAAAAAAAGGAAATTTAGAATAAAAGAACTCATTAGAAAAATAAATCAAAGGAAAAGATTAAGATATAAACTAATTAAAAGAAAAAATTGAATCAATTAAAAAAGAAAATCTAAATTTAGAATAGAATTTGAATAACCCTGCTCCTAATTTTCAACCATTTTTTAAAATAGTAGTATTTCATCAATATTCTTATTATTATAATCTTCATCATATTAGTAGTAATTAAATTTTTCATAAATACATAAATATTCCAGTTGTGAAGTAACATAAAATGGAAAGATGTTTTTTAATGTTGGTTACTATCTTTGTGATCAAGCTATTCCTAAAAATGGAGTTACATCATTTGCATTCAAAATCATTTAATTAAGTAATTATTGTTATATTGGTATTGGAATGAGAGAAATAATCTAAAAAATAATAATGGTGGAAATACTGGTATTGGCTATGGGTATTAAGTTATTTTATGCTATTAGATCCTATAAAATAAATTAAGATAAAAGTTGTTATTCACACTATGAAAAAGATAAAAATGGTAAATAAATATCATTTGATTTCACAATTAATGATATCGTAATTTTAGAAGTTGACATTTATAACAGATATGTAAAATGGACCAAAGCCAACACAAAACAATCATTCATAATTATTCTAATTCTATTCCATAATAGAATCTTTAAATAGATACAACTTATGATTTATACCCATGTGTATGGGTGTGTTAAGGTTTTGGAAATGGTAATAAAGTACAAATATTAGAATAATTTTAATGATATTATTATCAGAATTTTCTAAACAAGATATACAAAAATAAAAATTTTACTCTTGATAGATGAGAATTATAGCAATTAAAAATTAAATAACTTTAATATTATAAAATTATCAAATCTAACACTCTGGAGAGATATCAACTACATAACTAAATTTCAACCTTTAACCTTATTTATATGATTAAACATAATTTTGATATTTCAAAAAAATCAATAGAAGGAATTTTTCCTTCCAATCAATAAATAAGTTATTTAAAAATTTGAAAAAGGCAAATATTAAATTAGAATCTATTCTTATTGAGAATACTAATAGCATATCGAAATAATTTTAATTAAGAGTTCTTTATTTTAATTCATTAATTTATATGTATGGTATAGTTAATTTATATTTTATTATCATTAATATTAATTGGTTGCTAAGAATTCTTGCTTAAAAAGATGCAATATCTTTCCTTTTCCTTTTTATAAGTGATTGATTAAATAAAAAAATTCTAATTGTTAATCAAATGTCGACTATTTTAATCTAGGTTCTTGTGTCTCTCTCTTAGTGAGGATTAGTTGTAAATTGAGGAACTAATTCGCAACTTCTAAGTTCTAATTCTATATATAATTGTTAAAGGTATTTTTTATTTGAAATATGATTATTAGAAATAATTTCTAATAAAAATATCTATAAAATCATCTACATGAATTTATTAATGAAAAATTAAACTTATTTAGTAGTACTATAATAATATGAAAATTTTCCTGTCTTCTAAATATATTGCTAGAAATAAACAATTCTTCTGTTTAATTTTTAATTGAAAAAGCACAGGCCCTTTAGAGTATGAATTTATTTTGATAATTATCTTATATTTTTCAGTTAAATAAATATTAATAATAATTAATTTATATTTCAAGGCCTTTTTAACTTTGAATTTATAAATCTGCCATGTTGTGATGCAAATCAAAATTCATATATAATTCCTAAGCACTTATCCGATGGTAGATTCATTTAACAATAAAACTATATGTTCTAATATCTATCTAATAAACAGTTTTAATTTATTAGTTAAATGTTCAGACATTTTTATGAAAAAAAAATCTTTTGTTTATAGAGAAATCGAATTCTATTTAATTTTTTAGATAAATAATTCAAACACACTAATAATAGTAAGATTTTTAGAAAATAAATACCTAATGTAAGATTTTGATTGCTTTTAAAATTATGAATTTTAATATAACTTGGATCATTTTTTTAATTAATAAATCTAAGTCTCGAATTCACAAAAGTTTAAGACATATTTAAGGACCTTCTAGAAAATCTAAATTTTAAAATCACTTTTGATTAAATATTGAAAATATCTTATTTTATTCATTAATAATTCTGATATTTAATTTCTAAAAAAAATTCACCTTAATAGTATGATTTTATGAATTACTTGGATGAAAATAATCATATAATTATTTCATTTTAGTTAGTTGTTTATTAGACTCAATTTTCTAATCTTAAATATTTATGAATAATCCAAATCTTATAATTTAAATTTATTTTTGTTTTTGTAATCAGAAAATTCTACAATTCTATTTAAAAATCCTTGTTAAAGAGCTTTCTTCCAAATAAAAAAAGATTAGCATTTGTTTAACTTCTAAATAATATCCAATTCTTTTCAGGAGAACTTCATTTTGAATTTTTTTCATTAAGAGTGGTTAAAAAGACTTTGTCTCTACTGCAATTGAGCGCTGATTTTTGCTTCTTAGTTTAGACTCTTCATCCATAAAAGTGATTTTTTTTTTTTGAATAAAAAAAACTAACTAAGAAATTGAAATTTCATTCTTCATCACATTTTTATCATTAATTTGGTAATTTTTAATCATCATTTTTAATTCTGAATTTTTAAATCATGCTTTTCTAAAGATCTAATATTAGAGAGATAATTAATTAACTATACTAAAAGTGAACAAGAAACCAGAATGTGATTTGTATCAAGTTGAGGTTTTAATAAAAAATTCAAAAAAATATAAACTTTTAATGTCAAATGATCCTTTTAAATATTTTAATTATTATAAATTTTAATTAAATGAAAAACAAATACTTTTTTTTGCTATTGTTAAATTTACATTTGATATAACTTGCTAGTTACTTTTACTTTTTGAGATAGAGAAGTGAAAATTTACAATGATATTTTAGAGGATATATGAGTAGAAGGTCAGTTAAGATGATTTGACTTCTTATAAAAAGTTGCTAAGATTTAACATCAGATACATCAGATATTAGGAGGCTGATAAGGAGATTGAAATTCAAAATGAAGAGGAAAAACTTTATTAATTGTTGATATATTCCAATGCATATAATATAATGTGTAAAGAGACTAAATTATTAGGATTAAATTTCGGTGAAATTTCTAATTAATATAATCATAACCTTTTAAAATAATTGATTTTAATGAATTCTTAATGAAACTTTTATTAAATTTTGGAAATAATATAAACTTTTGAAAAGAGTTTTAGATGTGAGTAAAATTATATATCAGGGGTAATATAAAAGAAAATCTTGAGAAAATATAAAAGCAGTGATGTGGAAGTCAGCACAACTTTTCTTTTTAAAGATGATTTTACTTTAGATGTTTACAAAATTAAGAAATTTCCTTCAATTAGATGTTCTAATGTTTGGAAACAGTCAAAGAGTATCTAATGAAAATGGAAATATCATGTAATGGAATACTTAGGAGAGTTTAAATAAAAGTTATCAAAAGGTTAAAATCAATTTAATGATTGGCTAATAACAGATTATTATAAATAAAACCAGTGCCTGGAATAATAGAGGGATAGACACCTTATCGAATAGAAGTTTTAGATTAATAAGAATTCAAATGTTCTCAAAGAAAAGAAGGAAAAAATTTTCTTATTGTGAAAAGGATGAAGTAAGAATAATAATAAAAGGGGTAACAAGTGGAAACATTTAGTAAATTAGCTTAGCCCAAAATTCTTTAAAAACCACTTTAATTAGCCAAAAAGTATCAGGGTACATGACTTTAATAGAATAGTAATTGATAAAACAAAAGTTTAAATGTATGATTATTCTATACAGGATTACCTTAAACTGCTATTACAAGAAAAAGTAAAATCTAGGGGAACTATAAAAAAAAGTTCCTGTAATTTCAGAAAATAGATATTGGGAGGAGAATAATATTAAGTCAGATTAAATTGAAAGTATAATCAATTTACTAGCTTAAGAAAACTTAAATTAGTGATAGACAAATACTAATACTTTAGGATGTGTTTCCTCTATCTTTAAAGGAAAAACGATTAAATTCTACAATATAGATTTCCTACCACAAATTGTAAAGAAAAGGAATCTATATTTGGCCTGTCAATAGTTGTGAGTATTGGGAAAATCAGTCTTTTTTATATAAATATAACATGGTTAGACCTTTATTTCTGAAGATTTTGTCTTATCCATATTTGAAAGAGGCTTAGAACTTGTGGAGTATCAATAATGAGGACAGAGGATTATAAGAATGATTTATTGGAATGGAAAATGAAGAAGAAGTTCAAGAAATGATTTAAGAAGTTAAAATATATGTGAAAGTATCATAAATTTATAAAGTAGATACTTCTTGAGCCCAAATTGAATAGAAAAATGAAATTCTGGAATCTATAATTTATAAAAAAAGTATATAAATAAAAATTGAGATTATGAAAGGAGATATAAAAAGTTAATGTAATAAATTTGAAGATAATTATTTTCTAATGATCTCTAGAAATTTTAGTTTATAATATATAATAAATCACATTGATTCAAGCATTTTTAATTTTAATCAATAAGATTGTGTCATTATAACAAATTATTTATATTCAATTTTAATTTGAGAATGTTATTATTTGAGTGTCATTCATTAATTTCTAAGTAGATTAAGATATCATAGTAGTGATATTTGGGATTGGAAAATAAGGAATAATTTTGATAATATAGATTTTTTTGATGTCACTTTTTAAATAAACTAATGTGATGGTTATTGAAAGGTAGAAATTTTAATCTAGAAAATTTGGATAAATTTAAGTTATAGAACTCTAATTGCAATAATTCATTAAAAATAACAAATCAATTATTCGAATTAAAATTACAACTAAAATTACTAAAGAATATGAACAAATTGATTAATGGTAAATTAAAAATTATTTACAGGAATCATCCCTCAATTTTGATACTCTCTAAAGATTTCTTATTATAAACTTATAATTAAATTATGATAAGGGTAAAAAATGATCAATTGCCCATTTAATAAAGTTTTAAATTTTTAGAAAGTTATTAAATTACATTTCCTGATTGGATATAAAAATTTGAATATTATAGATGAAGAATTCGAAAGTTTTTAGTTCTTAAATAGAATACAAAAATAATTGAGTTGATATCAATGAATTAACAAGAATCAAATATTATTGTAATTTAACTTTTTCTTTCAATATAAAGGAATTAGTAAGTTATGTATTATCTATTTATATGGAACAAGGAAATTAAAAATAATAATAAGAACAAAGAATTTAATTGAGAAAGGTAAGTTTTAAAAAACATAATTTAGTTTCCTTTTTAAACTATTTTATATGAATCTCAAATATAAAATTTCAAAAAAGGAAGAAATAATGGACTGTTGTTAGGTTCAAGGAATATTATTAATTCTCTCAATTGTTAGTCTTATAAAGGATAATGGAAGTAATAATCCAATAGAGCAAAGTTTTAGGATATTTAAATCTAATTTGTCTAAAAAAAATGCTCAAGATACTTAGAAAAGCTGAATTAATAATGAAGTAATCATAGCAAATAATTAGCTGATAATGAAAAGAATGCTTAATATTATTTAACTTTATATTCACCTGAAATAGTAAATAATAAATATATGTATAAGAATATTCTAATTAAATTAATATTGAAGTTTTTATTTATTTCTAGGGGACAACTAAGTTACATTTAAGAGTTATTATCAATAAATATCATATTTAACTTGTATCAAAAAAGATGCAAATAAATTCATATTATTTCTTTAGAGATCATCTTGCCAAGCAAGCTATGCTTTGTACACTCTTTAGCAACTTACATTCCAACTCTATTAATATAAAATATATATACACTTTCGTTTTTAGATTGCCATATTCCAGATCATTATCCTCTAAAGTAACTGGATTATTGAGGCATATAATAACAATGACCTCATAGAATATTCAAAAATCTAGAATTTTAGTATTTAGAATTTACGAATTTTATTACTAATCAGTAATGATCATTTTTTTTTCCAAAATCACAAAGAACCCTTCACCTATTATAAACATTTTTCATAAATATAATGCATTACAGAAAATGTAGAAAATAAAGAGAATTTGAACCAACTAAAAAATATTTGGAATACATTGAATGACAATTCTCCAAAGATTAATTATAAATTATTAAATTTATTTATTCTTTTATTATTCATTAATAAATTTAACAAGAATTAAAATAACTAACACATTACTTGAAAAACTAACTTTATAATCATACAAGTATTAGAGAGATATAATTATAATTCTAAAATATGAGTTATAATATTTTTTCATATTTTTTCAGATTTTTTCAAATTATTAAAATATTTTAAATTATATTGTTATTGATAATTATCAATTTTAATTTGATTAAGTTTTTATTTTTCTTAAAACAATTTATTTCCTTTTATTTAAAAAATATTTTTTAATAAATGCCTGATTAATTCAAAAATTATCATTTCAAGACTAAACCTTCTATGCTTAAAATATTGACTAATTGGATATAGTAGAATATTTATATGAGTGAAGCCTGAATAATTGTTAAAATTAATATCTGGAAAAAGTGTTTTTTAAAAGAATGGAGATTTATCTTATAAGAAAACATTTTTGGGGCTATTATTTGAGGATTCTATTCCTTTTCCTGACTTTAACAGTTTGACCATCTAATTCAGCTTTTGATTATTTTGTCTTAATATCCCACAAACAGATAGATGAATATCCCATAGAAAGGTAGACTTTTCATCACTACTAGAGGCTAATATTTCCATTAGGAAAAAAACAAACTGATGAAACAGTGTAATTATGACCATCCAATCTGGCTTTTTATAATCCTGTTTTTACATCCCATAGACGGATAGACTTATCATTACTACCAGAAACTAAAGTATTTCCATCAGGAGAAAAACAGACAGATTAAACATAATCACTATGAGCATTTAATTTATTTAATTCATGGATTCTCAAGTTTATCCATTTACAATTCATTAATATTGCTCTATTCAAATTCATTCCACTAATGTTAACATTATTAAATTCAGATCCACTAAAATTACATCGAGCAAAATTAGCTCCTACTAAAGAAGTATTTTAGATCTTAATATTTAAAAAATTTTTGTTTCTAAGGTCTACCTTAATCAAAACTAATATATATAATGAATTAGACCCACATTATATCATATTCTAATCTATGGATGTGAGGTGAACTAAAAATTCCAAAAATTTGATGATCTTTATTTTATTCCTGCAACTTTTAATCAGATTTTGCATAAAATCTTCATATACTTGATTTGAATAGTCTAACTTATAGAAGCCATGATCTTTTATTTTTTTTAAAACATTAGTAGTTTGTTTGATGTTCTTTCTAACATCATACAATTGTTATCCATTTTCAACTTGCATTAAATTCTCTACTTTTTGTAAGATTTATTATTCTAAATGTGTTTGATTCCCAAGATCTAAAAGATATCCTATGCAATCTTAAACTTTTTCCTTGCGAAATATTTTTAATATGACATCAAATATTTGTTCATCTACATCTTTAACTTAAGTAAAAATTTCAGCTAGAGCTTCCTTCTCTTAAAAAGTGCNTAGTATGACCATCTAATTTGGCTTGTTATTATCCTGTTATTACATCCCATTAATATATATACCCATAATTACCACCTGAGACTAATTTATTTCCATCAGGAGAGAAACAAACTGAAAAGACAGTGTAATTATGACCATCCAATTTGGCTTTTTATTATCCTGTTTTTACATCCCATAGACGGATAGACTTATCATCACTACCAGAAGCTAATGTATTTCCATCAGGAGAGAAACATACAGAGTTGACACCACTATCATGACCATCCAATTAGGCTTTCTATTATTCTGTTTTGATATCCCATAGAAGGATACAATTATCCCAACTACCAGAAGCTAAAACATTTCCACTAGGAGAGAAGCAGACTGAACGAACATCATTGGTATGACCATCTAATTTGACTATCTTTTTTCTTGTTTTTACATCCCATAGAACAATAGAGTTATCATCACTACCAGAAGCTAATGTATTTCCATCAGGAGAGAAACAAACTGAAAAGATAGTGTAATTATGACCATCCAATCTGGCTTTTTATAATCCTGTTTTTACATCCCATAGACGGATAGACTTATCATTACTACCAGAAACTAAAGTATTTCCATCAGGAGAAAAACAGACAGATTAAACATAATCACTATGAGCATTTAATTTATTTAATTCATGGATTCTCAAGTTTATCCATTTACAATTCATTAATATTGCTCTATTCAAATTCATTCCACTAATGTTAACATTATTAAATTCAGATCCACTAAAATTACATCGAGCAAAATTAGCTCCTACTAAAGAAGTATTTTAGATCTTAATATTTAAAAAATTTTTGTTTCTAAGGTCTACCTTAATCAAAACTAATATATATAATGAATTAGACCCACATTATATCATATTCTAATCTATGGATGTGAGGTGAACTAAAAATTCCAAAAATTTGATGATCTTTATTTTATTCCTGCAACTTTTAATCAGATTTTGCATAAAATCTTCATATACTTGATTTGAATAGTCTAACTTATAGAAGCCATGATCTTTTATTTTTTTTAAAACATTAGTAGTTTGTTTGATGTTCTTTCTAACATCATACAATTGTTATCCATTTTCAACTTGCATTAAATTCTCTACTTTTTGTAAGATTTATTATTCTAAATGTGTTTGATTCCCAAGATCTAAAAGATATCCTATGCAATCTTAAACTTTTTCCTTGCGAAATATTTTTAATATGACATCAAATATTTGTTCATCTACATCTTTAACTTAAGTAAAAATTTCAGCTAGAGCTTCCTTCTCTTAAAAAGTGCAATACATTTTTATATTTATTTTAATATTAAACTTCTCTTAACATAAATTTTAAGTTATATACTGCTAAATCGATAAAATTATCTTATTTATTTTTGTAAAAAAGAAGTTCAGACATTGTGTAGATTTGGAATTAATTAAAATAGAGCGTAAGGAGAATTCTATTCTAAAGTTGATTGGCTTTATTTTTAAGAAATAGAATAGATAATTTTTATATGAATAAATTAATTTATACTAAAATTGAGTTATATGATTGATTAATTTATATTCTAGTCAATCATCACTGTTTAAGCATATATTTTTTTATGAAAATCTTCAG